GGCCCCGCCCCGCCCTGACCCGCCGTGCGCTCTGTCGCCCGCAGATTTCTTTGCCAAACGGAAGAGATCTGCGCCTGAGAGCAAATCCTCCGGAGATGTACCCCCTGGGTGTCCCTCGGCTGGCGCACCTCCTGGGGTTGGCGGGGCAGAGCAAACCCCGCGCAAGCGGCTGAGATGAGTTAGGTGAGTCCGGTGTCCCTGGGAGGGGGCTTGTGGAGGGGCGTCCCCGCCGCAGGCTCCTCATGCCGATTTCCCTTCAGTTTAGAGCCCCAGGAGCACGGGGAGCTTGTTGGGCAGCGGACGATGGATGAGCGCGGGGCCTCGCGGGACCGTACTTCTAGCAGCAACCGGTGGCAGCAGCCGCAGCGCAGCCTACGGTTTTGTGTTTAAAATCTGAAAACTGTGCAATGTATTGATAGCATCGCTATTACTTAAATATATTCTGCACATGGAGTACACTGGTCCCAAGGTGTAAAGCTTTAAGAGTCATTTATATAAAATGTTTAATCTCTGCTGAAACTCAGTGCAAAAAAAGAAAAAAAAAAAAGAAAAAAAAAAGATAAAAGGGAAAAAAAGAAAAAAAAGGAAAAAAATAAAAAAACATGTATATTTGTACAAAAACTTTTAAAAGTTATACTAACTTATATTTTCTATTTATGTCCAGGCGTGGGTCTCTGCCACGCAACTGCTCGGTTATTGGTTATGCCAAAGGCACTATATTTCACCCGCATCAGATTATCAGCAAGTTAAATTTATTTTTCCAGTGGGCTCTAGGGGAGGAGGTCGCTCACAAACTAGCTTCCATACATACCATCTAGCTTGCAGTCTTTTCACGCTTTCGCTGCCTCTCTTATTATTATTATTATTATTATTATTATATTATTATTATTTTAAACTTGAAGACAAATCTGTTAAAAATGGTTCCTGAGCCGTCTGTACCACTGCCCCGGCTCCTCGTCCGCCGGGTTCTAAATAAAGAGGCCAAAAATGCTGCAAATCTGTCTGCTTGTGCTTGTGCTTGTACACCTTTGCACGCCAAAGCGGGGAGATAGGCAGGACATAGTGGGTGGGGGCTGGGAGAGCAGACCAAATACTGCTTTTTGGCAGGGTGAAGTCTGTCCAAAAGGGAGGGGCCTTTCTCTTGGCCAGGCAAGCCCACCTGCTGCAGGCCAGGCATTTGTCACCTGCTGCTCTTAGTCCAAAATAAGCATCTATCCCAGTTCACTGGAGTCCCCTGTTCCAAGGAAACCAGCAGCAGGGAGCTAGGTTCTAATGTACACTGCAAAGGTTAGACCAGACACTTCATAACTCCTCACTGCAGTATCCTTCACAAGAAGGGGCCCCAACTCCTCCAGGGTCCCCTCAGGGTGGGCTCAATCATGGCCTTGGTGGGAGAGAGGGGAGAAGACAAGGGGCAAGGGGCCATTTCCCCCCCTCCCATACCCGTACTGGCACTCCCCTAGCCTACTGGTTTCAGAGTGTTTCCTTTTAGTTCAAAGGGGGGGAGGGTTTTGCTTTATTTTTTTTTTTTAATAGCTGATCTATAAACCTATGAAAATTGGGGCTTAGAATGGAAAGAATGACATAAAATCACAAATCCAGAAAAGCTGGCAGTATTTGTGCTAGTGCCCTGGATGAGGAGAAAGGAAAACTAGGGGTTATAGGGCTGTGTGGATCTGATGGAGAGAGGGGTGTAAATGCATAATTAAATTAGCTAAACCTTCCCCCAACTGCCTGCAAGGCCTAGGTGGGGCCAGGCACCAGGAAATGCCCCACCACGCACCCCCAAGGGGTACGGGCCTTACTGCCTTCTGCTAGTCCAACAGCAGCCTTGTTAATACCTTGCACTTACTTTGGGAAGACCTGCTTCGGGCTTCCAAGTGCCCCAGTGGGGAGAGGCTCCCCATTTCCACTTGGCCTGGACAAGCCCTGTCCTCTGAGAGGGACAGCAGAGGTAGGAGCGTGGTGTACTACTTGATAGTCTGGCATGCGGGCAGTGGGCACACACTGCGTGAGTGTTCTTGGTGAAGAAATCCGATGGGGCCCTTGAGGTAGAGCTCTCTGAGTGCAGGTTCAGCTGCGCCAGGCCTCTGTTCTGTTTCTCACAGCCCTGCGCCCATCGCGGGGACCTGATGGTGCTGTTCACCTGCTGCCCAGCTTCCTGTTCTCCCTAGGGTGACTTTCTGAGAAGCAGTGAGGGCTGTGTGGGGTCACTTGGGTGTGGTTTCTATCCCCAGGTAGGAACCCACAGCAGGAACCTGGAGCCCACCCTCCATGGGGAAGCAGCATTGTGATGTGAGCCACACGAGTGATCCCAGGCAGGAGATCCCATCTTTCTGGGGGGTGGAGGACTTAGTTTCCCCATCTGGGCTAGGAAATGTCTGCAGTACCTTTCAGATCTGGTGTCCTCTGACTCTCATTTGAGGACAGTTACAGAAATAAGGACATCAGTGATACTGCTGGAAAGTTATCTTTTTCACCTGTGCCAATGACAGTCAATCATAGGAACAAGCCTGTGAGCCCTTAGTCCACACCCCGGTCATCCAGGGTGAAACCATGGCAATGCCCTGTCCCATGGACCAGGCTAGGCAGACAGAGCAGAGCTGTTAACCTATAACAGCTGAACATAACAATGAAGCAATGACCGCATAGGAGAGGCTGGGAAGGGACTGCTTGCCTGGGCAGGAGTGTGGAGGGGACCTGGACCTCTGATATTCCTGGAATCCCTAACAGGACAGCTAGGACAGAAGCTGAGAGGGAGGAAGGGTGAGTCAGAAGGCCAGGTTATGGCAGGAGAGGCAAGGCTGAGGGGCCCATTGTTTGGGGGCACATGGGTTTACACACTATTGTAGGAATGTGCATTGGGTATGCCTGCTCCTTTCCCTGGCGCTCCCTCCCGATCTCTTGTCCCTTCCTGGGCCCATTGGGCCTTGTCAAAAGTTGAATTTTGTCTGTAGGCAATGAAGAGCCCCAAGAGGGAGTGAAATTAGAGGAGATGGTGCTGGATGGAGAGCAGGAGAGCCATCAGGAGAGCTGGGCAGAGACGCTAGATAGCCAGTATTTCAGGGCCTTGCATGCCAGATTCTGTTCTGGGCATCAAAGACACAGGAAGAATTAATGACACAATTCCCTGCTCCCATTGCCTCCTCTACCATGGGAGGTAATAGAATAAGCCCTTTAATATAGGGGCTGTAGAGCATAGGAAAGTGATCGGTGTCAGCTAAAAGAGCCAAACAACAGGCTGGTGTGTATAACAGGCATGCCAGGGAGCACCCACCAGGCCCTCAGGTGACACATGCCCATTAACTGGGTGAGATCAGTGTAGCCCTTGGAGGCAACAGCCAGTGTCAAGCACCTGAGGCCTAGGGCGCTTCTGAAATAGCCACAGTGGCAGGAGATGGGGTGGAAAGTACTAGAAGATATAATAGGTGGGAGAGTCATTGGGACCAGCAGACAGATTGGATTGGTTAGGGGATCAGGTACTGAGAAGCTCCCAAAGTTTCTAGTGTCCGTGTGAGGGTGGAGCTGCTCTCTGAGCTTAGAAAGCCCTCTGGATAGGGGGACCAAAGGGCCCAACTCCCTTCTTTAGGACATAAGTTGTAATTTGGGCCACCCCTTGCTTTACTGGCACTCTCAGCCAGACCCTGGGGACTACATGGCACATGTCTGGTCTCTCCACAACCCTGTGTGCAAGGCATGAGTACCCAGGTTACAGATGGGCACAGCGAGGCTCAGGAAGGTAAGGCGGCTCGCACAGCACTGCTGCCCGGGGAGATGCCCGGCAGAGTCTGCTACTGCTGCCCTTAGCCTCCCACCTGGCTGGTTTCCCTGATGCTCTCCTAAGAGCACTGTCTGGGCATTTATTTTCTATTTTTATTTTTGATAACATTTTCATGAACTCCACTTGGTAGTTTACGTGAAAGCACGTTGCTTGTGCATTCTATGGGTTCGAACACACACGTGATGTCCTCTGTCCAGTAGCACAGTGTCATAGAATAGTGCCACTGCCCTAGAAATCTGCTGTAACTGAGCCTCCCTCCCCCAACTGCTGGCAACCACTGGTCCTTTTGTTGCCTGCATAGTTTTGCCTTTTCCAGAATGTCTTGTGGACCATACAGATGGACTTCTTTTACTTCATGATATGCATTTAAGCCCCACCTTTAGTCTTCCCATGGGCTGATAAGAGTATGTTTAATTTTGTAAGAAACCACCAAGCTCTCCTCCAAAGTGGCTCTACTGCTTTACATCCCTACTAGCTGTGAGCGGCTTCTGGTTGAAGAGCAGTGTTTTTTTAAATATTGCTTCTCTGTGGACCACACAAAACACCAATTTTAGATTAATTAAAAAGCAAAACCAGCTGAGAATGGTGGCATAATCCTGTAAGCCCAGACACTCAGGAGGCTAAGACAGGGGAGCAAGAGTTTGAGGCACCCCTAGGTGACATAGAAAATCTAGTCTCAAAAATCAAACGGAACAACAACAACAAAAGTCCTCACTACAGTTTGAACGTGCCGAGGACAAAGCACAATTAAAAATTAACACTGATGATTGTGGCTTTATCTCAGTGCGCTGGCTTGTTTGACCTGGCGGAGGATGAAGAGCTTTTGCCGTTGGTCGATTCCTCATCCAGCTGGCCTCATGGTAGGTTGCATTATTGTCCAAATATTTGCTGCCTTGCCTTGTGAGAAGATTCTGCATCTCCTACATGGTGCTATCAGGCCTGGCCATGTAACTTGCTCTGGCAAATGTAATGTGACTGCCATTATGTCTGTGGCTGCTAAGTAGAACTCACAATGGCCAGCATTCCACTGTCCTATCTCTATAGTGTGGGACAAGCAAGATCTCAGGTAGAGCTGCTCCTTATGAGAAAATAAGCCCAGCACAGCCCACCAGCTGGGGTACTGTGATGGCAAATGAGAAACACGCCACACTTACCATAGTCCCTGAGGTTTAGGGCTTGTCTAATATGCAGCACAATGTAAACTAAGCTGATAGATGAGCAGCTTTGAGGATCCCAATACAAGAATTACAGTGAGGCCCTGGTGGCACTGTCAAGTTGTCCCAGTACCTGGTACTATGGTTTGGTCTTGGTTTTTGTCCCCTAAGAGTTCGTGTGTTGGAAACTTGGTTGTCGATATGGTAAGATGTTGAAAAGGTAAGGTCTAGTAAGCAGTCCTTATAAATTAGGGGTGTTTTCAGAAGGGATAGGGGACCCCAGTCTCTCTCTGGCTTCCTATTGTGCATTGTGATCTCTTTTTCTCCCATCATTATGGTGTATCTGCTCTGAAGCCCTCAAAAGCTGAGCTGATACTGGTGCTGTGTACTTGAACCTTGGAAACTGAGCAAATACTGCCTCTTTTCTCTATAAAGTTACTGGATTGCTGGGCATGGTGGCACACACCTATAATCCTGGCACTTGGGAGGCTGAAGCAGTAGGATCGCTGTGAGTTTGAGACCAGCCTGGGCTGCATAGTGAGTTTCAGGTCAGTCTCAACTACAGCTGTCTCAA